AAAAAACTAATCAAAATTTTCAAAGATAATAACATTTTATCAGAATTTAATTGTGCCAGCCTTTCTGGACAAAGTATGATGGAACCCTTAACTATTATACACTCAGCTCTCCAAGCAGCAAATACTAACAATAAAGAATTTTGATTTGCCTCTCTCGACATTATCAAAGCATTTGATTTAGTTTCAATATCAGCAATAAAAAAATCATTAGAAAGAATCAATTGTCCTGAAAAAATTAACAAACTTCTTATCAATATCCTAAGTAACAAAGAAGTATCTATCAATATACCATTTGAAGCAACTAATCCATTTATCATCAACAATGATATAGAGCAAGGCAAAATACTATTACTGATTACTTGGGTTATTTTTTATAACCCTTTGATCATTAAACTATCACAGCATATCTCAGTTTGTGAATATGAAACTCTTAACATACTCGCATATATAGATAACCTAGTACTTATTGCAGACTTCAAACAAAAAATGGAAAATCTTCTAAGTGTAGCCAACTAATTTTTTATACTGAACAACATTATATGCAATAAAGATAAAACAAAAATAATCAACAATATTAAAGTAAAGCAAGAGATTCAAAACACTATCAAATTTGGCAATCACTATATTCAAATCCTCAAACCATACGAAAGCATTAAATACCTTGAAACACTAATTTCTTCCAGAAACTTTAACAAGGTCAACAGAAGAGTATTTTTACAGACATTATCATAAATTATTGAAGAACTTGCTAAATACAATTGAAAAGAAGAAATCAAGCAACAAATTAATAATTGGATTACCATGAGGAAGTTTGAGTATTTTTTACTCTTCTTGTTTCTCAACAAAACAACTCTCAATCTACTCCAAACCAAAATTAACAAACTGGTGAAGTCAGCATATAAGATTTTATCAAAATGCTCTAATACAATCCTAGTCAGCTGTAATAGCCTCAACCTATCAGTACTAGAAAAGAGACAGAAAATTATCCTAATAAGAAATCTCATTTCCAAACTCTTTATTTCCTTTATCAGGAAATATATAATACAAGATATCCAATCCATCCAAACAAAAAAGGTTTTGCCTCATTTGCGACCTAGAGAAATTCAACCAGGAAATTGAATCTTATATGTCACAAAATTAGTCAAAAATCTCAAAATTCAAATTTGTCCAGCAAAATGCTCATTTCATCTTGACAATGTGAAAAACTCTATTGGTTTTTTATTCACCAATATGCAATTCTAACTTAAAAAGACAGCAATCAATACAACTAATGTTCTTAACATAAAGTTCATTAATCAATTACTAAAGTATAATAACATCATCAAACTTTTCTGGCCACAACTTGCTACACATACAGGAATAATTTGCTTGGGTCCAGAGTCCAACTGGTTTAAAGCATTTGTAAATATCAAAACCCTTTTTGGAACTCATAGCCTAATTCCAAATCCTAAAACAATATTTTGGTTTCTGCACAATATCAATGCAATTGTCAAAACTTGCAAAAGATATATCAGATGAAAGAATACTACTCAGAGGCAAACATTTCACCATAAACCTCAACAACAATCTCACTAAATGTTTGGGCTGTCTGATTGGCATATCCTCCTATGGTTTCTGTTGAATACTATTCACGAGCATATCAGCCTCCATATTATAAATTTCTTTCAACTCTTTCAACAAATTCAAATACTATCTGCTCAATATAATCAATAAAGTCATCAACTCACCACCTAACAATGAACATATCCTTCAAGAAGTTAATATTTTTACCAATTACTCTTCCCAATAATTACTATAAGATCTCAGCTCGCAACAATATTATTATATTTAATCACACAAAAGTAATCTATTTATAAATGAAATCGAAATAAAACCACTCAACTTCTGCTTACTATCAGACAATATCCTACTGACAATCTTTGATATCATTTAGGAAATTCCAGCTCACTCCATTATTGAAATTAGAAACAACAAAAAAATCCTTTAATTAGTACCTGAGAAGAATAGTTAAAATCAACTTTTTCTCATTATTTTAGAAAATAAATTAATATATATAATAGAAATCCATAGAAATTGTATATACTATACATGTGTTCATATTTAATTTAGATATTTTTCAAAAACCATATTATGTTCATATTACTAAGTAACAATTAATAAATAATTGGAAATCGTATTTAATTTGGAATCGTATTGTCAATCAAATTTCCTTTTATAGTAATAATAAAACATATATAGTATATACCAAATCTAAGTCCAGACCAATATCAACCAGAACTATTCAATGGAACAATTACTTATTACACTTTCCTGAAAATCCTCTAATCAACAATACTTGCTTAGATAGTAGTATCAGATAGTGCAAGAAAATTTTCAATATTACTAGAGACTATATAGTATGTAAAAGCTTCTCAGTTATTCAAACGTTCAGACAAACACATATCCCATATGATCTAAAAGTTATCAACCAATTCAACAAAAATATTAGAAAGCTTCATAATAACAAGTACAGTACTCTAGTAGCCTTTAAAGTTAAACTGCTCTTGGAAATTCTTCCAATTCATTTTACACTCCACCAACTATACCATAATCAATACTCAGATACCCTCTATCCACGATGTGAGCTTCACACTAAAGATATTTAACATATTTTTAAATGTTTGGAAATATTACAAGCAACTGAACAAATTATAAAAACTATTAATCAGACTCTTTATCTAGACAGTAATCACAAACTAATCTCACACATATGGCAAGTCATCGAATTGTTATGTGGAGTTACAGACAAAATATTCTTCACTTCAACCTCTACCAACTGAATTAAGGTAGCAATAGAATCTTTAACTTTGTTACATAATCTAATTTGAAAATCATATTGCTTTATAGTCAACACCTTACCTCTTACTAGAATCAAGTAGAACCATACTAAGTTGTATAATTCAATTAATTCCATCAATTCAGAAATTAAAAAAACCTTACAGATCAAAGACAACTCCAAAAACTTATAAGACAATACTATTATTGATTTACCTTTTGCTGTTACTAACGCATTCATCCAATCTAAATATAATTATTCCAAATGTATTTATAGCTTAACAATTCTATCTGCTAATTTCAACTCCATTTCCCCTAATATTGAGTAGGTATTCATAGCAACTTGATGTTATTTGGCAAGACATATTGTTTAATCTTTTCAATATTAGTCATATGGTTATTGTAGGCAAGCTAGCATTTAATTCATTATACAAATATATGAGAGATGTTGTTTCTTTCATGATGTATACCATGCTATATACAAATCAAATAAAGAAATGTTTACCTACTTAAAATATATATATATATTTATTTAAAAAAATATTTACTTATTAAAAAAAAAAATAATTTTTAACTTTTTTTTTTAAAAAGATTTATTTTAATATTAATATATTTTTTTGATATTTTTAATATTATTAAAATAAAATAATAATAAAAGAAAATATATAAGTAATAAAAAACAAAAAAAAAAAACTTGATTTTAAAATTTAAAAATTATTATAAAATATTTAAGTTTATAAATTATTAATTATAATCTACAGAAACAAATATAATAAAAATTTTTTTAATATTTTAATTACGTATTTGAAATAATTTTGAGAAAATTATTAAATAAAAAAAAAAACAATTTATAACCAATAAAAATTTTGATTTTATTTATATAATTTTGAGAAAATTTTTAATCTTTTTTATTTTTATTTTCATATTATAAAAATTTATATATTATACCATATTTAAAAAATTAAAATTAAAATTTTTTTTATTATTTTAGTAATTAAAATACAATATATTGTAATTGTTATATTCTTTTTATTATATTATTTATCACATCACAGTAAATAATTTAATAAAGAGAATGTGACAAATACCAATGGAATACAATTTTGCCAACACTGATTGTAAATATGCGTATATTTACTGTTTTCTTTTCTATATTCAGACAAGTATAATATTAATTGTATAATTGTATGTATTACATTTGTGTATATTGATTTGTCGTCTAATATTTTGTGTTTGTTAACATTTTCCTGTGATACCAATAGATAAAGTTTTAAAGCCGATTTCAGTGATCCACTTAGTCTATTTCTTTGATCGGAAGGCCTATCATATCAGAAGTATTTCAAAACCAGTTCACTATTCATGCTTTAAGTTATACAAACATTTGAATTTCCAAAGTTCGCCAAGCACGAGTTTATTATAAGAGCTATTGGTTGAGAAAATGCAAGCAATCTTTTTATTTTACGTATTATATGCATAAATAAAATTCATTATGTTACATTTATTAATGATATGAAGTATTAATCTATTAACATTTAAGGCATGTCGAAACCCTTACTTTCCATTTTTATTCACCAGTGTAAATTATAATAGTAAAAATCACGTGAGAAGATTAATTCAGAGTAGTACAGCATTATCCATTTTACACAAGAAACCAAGTAATTAAGGCAAGTGAGAATTAACACTCGAATTACGGTAATATATTTAAATTATGTTTTCTTTTTTGGTTGATTTATTGCATATTTGTTCAACATTCTTATCCCCAAAATTGAATTCTAGTAGGTAATGAGAAGGGTGCATGAACACAACACAAAGCGCATTTATAATAAAAAACGTTGAATTCTTTGCTATTACATATGCGCCATTGTGTTCAGGGGTTATTAGGAACTTATTCTGTCATCACATCATCCCTTATTACAGAATCATCCATTTCTCCTTTTTCACTACTCAGTTTTTTCTTTTTTTTCATTCCTTTGCATATTAAGCCCTTCGTTTTTTTAATTATAGTGAACTTAAAGCGGGCCGAATAAACCCCTGGCCAAATATGAAATAATCATCTTTACAGTGCTAAAAGACTTCGCTGATGACTTTACTTCCTTAAATTACTGCTCCCTTTTCAAGATTGTATTAATACATTGTTAAATGAAAGATTTTATAATATCATTCACCGAGAAATCGCAAAAACCACAATGTCTAGAAATCCAACCAAACCTGTAAATGATTTGATAAAATTTTGGGCTTCGCAACAAGAAGAAAGTGAGAGAGAAAAGTTAAAAGCTTCTGAAAAGCTTCTTCCAAAGAGTCGACCTTTATCACCAAATGTTTCTGCCCCTTCTTCGCCGCAAACTAAACCTCAACAACCTCAACAAACCGCATCACCAAGACCATGGAATCTAACCAATCTTAATAACAATGCACCATCTAGCATTATACCTTCCCTCTCTTCAGTATCACCATTACCCCCTTCCTCAATACCTTTTGGCGATTTATCTGTCTCGCAACCAGTGTCTATATCGGATCGGTTATTCAGTAATAAATCAAAAGATGTCAATGATGAAAATGAAGATTCTGTTCCGGATAACAGTTTCTCTATAATTGACATACAACACGTACCTGGTCATAAGGAACATGGGAGAATGGATTGGAGTCTTCTGACACAAGAATCTTCTTCTTCCACTCCTGTTGCTTCTTTCACAGAAAATGTCAATTCCTCCTCCACGAAACCAACAGTGCAGAAATCACTTGTCAAAGACACATCTTTTCTTAATACGACGCGTGATCCTCCTCTGAAACCAAAAGATCCGTCAATACGCGATTCTTTGCCAAAAGTAAAGAAAGTTTCTAACCTGGTATCAAAATTTGAACAAGTCGCGTCCCCGCCAACATCTCCGACTGCTTTGTCACCGATAAATAGGTTTAACCAAATTCCGGATCCATTGACTTTAGATAAAGATCCAACTTCTCCTACTGATGGACACGTAAAAAGGATTCAACCGATTATTGAACCCTTATTTATGTCTTCTCTAAAAAGAAATGTTTTGACTGATGAATCAGAATCTACGGTGACGACTTCGCAACCTTCCACATCTTTGTTGTCTTCTAAAGAAAAGAATAAAAAGTCAACTGCCAATGGAATAATTGTTAATGTGTCTTCAACACAGACTTATTCGACCATAACGTCCCCTATTGAAAATGTTGTAATGAAGGAATCTGTAGTAAGCACGAATGTTCCTGAAAATCCTACGTCGACTAAAACACAAGCTAAGAGAAATGCTCTCGAGAATTTTACATCTTCGACAACGCAAAATACGCCGGCGACATCTAAACAAAACATAAGCTCAACTCTCTCTACAAATCCTTTTATTACGAATTCAATTTTTCAATATACCATGGAAGGTTCACCGACTATAATGACACCCACTTCAAATCATGTCAAACCTAAACTTGAGCCATTATCAATTGCTTCTTCTCCACCGGTGAGGAGGCCTTCACAGGCATCGTCCTCAATTCCTGATACGTCTGCCCCTCCAAAGCAAATCGTAATACCAACAATTCAAGAATCTATACACGAATATGATTCTTCTGTTCTTTCATCTTATGAGGATGACTCTCCAAAAATCAACTTAACCTCCCCTCTTCGTATTCCATCACCTGAACCCTTATTCAAAAGATATCGTACCTCTACCGAGTCTGATACAGAGTTCTTTACATCTTTATCAACTGAATTCGATAAGATCTTAACGGATTCTAAATCTAAAGTTTTGACGAAGTCTAGATCCACCCGATTTTCGGAAATATTACCTCAATCAGCAAAGTCTGCGAATCTTTCAGTGCCTCAAGGATTTCGCGATTCATCTCGTAAACCTCTAAAGTTGGAAACAGATCTATCCACTTCAACTTCAAACGAAACTCCTGCCTCACCTGTTCAAAAGCAAATTACAAACGAAACCCCAGCTTCTCCAATTTCACCGGCTCGATCTCTCATTTCTTCAACTCATTCACCTATATCACCTACTCGGTCTAAAAGCCCTGAATCCGTTTCTCGAGATTCTTTCTCTAATAGATACACTCTACCAGCTTTACCAGTATTACCGTCTATTGTCCCAGCTTCGCCTATCTGGGGCCCAAATGCTGAGAAATCTGTTCCACCATCACCAATTCAGACATCAACTCCCAAAATTAAATCACCTACATTACCTCCAGCATTGCCTTTGGTCAACTCACCTTCGGTACCACCGATTGAATCAAAAATTATCGACAACCAGTCTGCAAATTCATCCAAACAGACCTCATCAATGTGGGGTTCTGTTCCTGATACTTCTGAAAAAAATTCCTCGACCCCCGATGAACCTTTGTCACAACTTTATTCTACGATCTGGCAAGCTATGACTCAAACTTCGTTAGATAAAAATGGTTCTATTCGTAGAAACGGACCCCCAGCCTTTTCAGATAATAATCGTTCAGTGTTATCTCCTGAAGCTGCACCAATTTCGTCACACCGATCTAATAGTAGCGGACTTGGATTTCCTGAACCGTTACCAAAAGCGCAATATACTACTACAAATCGCCGAGAGAATGAGTCCACGGCTCCATCTCGAGTATTTTCCAGCACTTTGCCAAGTTCGCTTAATTTGCCTTTACCGGCGATGGATCGAGATTCTTGGGGTCTTTGGGGTGAATCGCTAAATCCTTTCAAGTCTCATTTTGATAGTAAATCAAGTACACCCGAACCATACATATCGAATTCAGATGATATTAACCAAGACAATCAAGATTATAATCCATTTTTGGATTCGCATTATGTAGACCAATCTGACCTTTACAAAGTGATTGTCGGCCCAAAAGGGGGTGACAAAAAGAAAAGTAATCTGCTAACTGCCAGAGATACTGGCGCATATATCATGGAAATGCAAGAGACAAATATCGCGAATAGAAAAGATCGAAATGATAGTTACATGGATAAAATCAAGGGATCCAATGAACAAGAAAGATCTATTCCATTGAAGGCTAAAATGTCAATGAGAAAACCCATGCCGAGTATCAACGATACCTCACTGTCTGATGAAAACCAGGGTCACGCTTACACCATAGCATTGCGAAAAACAGGTTCTTTTGAAACGTATGTATCAGAAGCTGGCTCTACAAAGAAGTCGCAATATGGAAAACGACACAAGTTCAAACCCGTTCAATTGCCACCATCCCCATATACCACTGTGAGGCCAACGAGAAATTCATTGTCGCCAATTTCAACACTCAAGAATAATCCGATCATTGCACAGAAAACTTCTGTTAAATATAATGATCATGATCTTCCGGAATACGCGTCAACGAAGTCAAGGATGTCTGCGTTGGTTCCTCACAATTTGACTACAACCGAGTACAGAAAGCTAAATCGCTCTGACCCTGATCTTACGGCCAGATATCGACATAATATATTCAACAAAGCGTTCAGAAAAAACAACATGACAGTACCAGATTTCACACGTTTGAATTCTGTGAAAGAACGAAAACCAGATTTCACAATGGCCATAATGGCTGATGCAGATTTAGACCCTTCGAAGGTGACAAAATTCAGCATAGACCCGTTTGACGAATCCGAATCGAATCAACTATTTAAACCTGGCGCACCGTGGATATACTTGCCACACCTTGATGAATTTATAAAGTCGTTGCCAGAAGCTGAATTCTCAGATCCTAAAGACTTAATGACCGATGATGAATATGAAAAATTTATATTATCAAGTGGGAATGGAAAAGCTCAACCAGAATCGCTGTTCCCTCCAATGAATCAGATCCCGAAAGATATCACCTTAGATGACCTAAAGAACAATAAGACGAAGTCAGGCTCTAAATTTTCATTGTCACAAGCATCACGAAATGATTTAATGGCGACGGCCATTGATGGAGTGCTGACAGTTCAAGCACCATATGGAATAAAATTTATGAAGTTAGAGATTATAAGAGATCTTATACAATTCTTGGCACTGATAGTTACTTTTGGAAGTTCTGGTGTCCAGGGAGTTTGGGTTAATGTGTTGTTATACACAATACCAAATTTGCTCGGCCTAAATTTAGATCGCGTGTTTGGGCACGGAACTATATTCTTTATATTGTTTTGTCTGATGAGCTTAATGGGACTGTATTGGTTTAGACTGATGACTAAATATGATCCTAATGCGGATGTTGAGGTAATTTTTCGTTCTTTGTTGCATATATTATACGTCGGACTCTTATTCAAAAAACTACCTTCAATCAATAAATAGGGTCTTGAATCTTCACCATGGAGCTTGCGTCCGGAAACAAAGAGACGTCAAAACATTGTATTGGTTTTCATATTAACCACTTTATACCTTCCACTCTCAAAACTTTCAATCGACGTCCTTGTGTGGTCCGACTCATTTTGGGCCGTACCCAATCCATATACAGATGTTGATAATCCCGTATTTGGTGAGGCTTCCAATGGTATGCGGAGTCCTGGTGATTTTTGCTATGTCACCAGCATGAGAAAGGATGACATGAACTTTTCGCCTGTACTCATTGGGATAGCATTGTTGACGCTTGGAGTCTTCACTATCTGGTTTCCTATTGCGCTGAAAAGATTAGTTGATAAGAATTTGCCGAAAACAGACAGCTATAATGAACTCGGGGAGGCTGTTGCTTCTTCAGAGGAAGAATATAAAAAATTATTATTAAAGGATACCTGTCCATATAATTTCTTGTATAATGGTAAGTTGATCTTTAACTATCGTTGGAATTGGATGGCATCATGGATTTTATGTCTAACATGTCTTTTTTCTTGAACAATAGTTTACAGCTCAAAATGGGCAGCTTACAAGACATTTATCATGGCCAACAAATTTGTCAGCATTCTTTTTGTAGTATCAATATCTAAGGACAATTGTTTATTTAGGAATGTACCAAGAATGCAAACCGACATAATCCGACAGTTAATTCAATTGGTACTGATGATAATTCTTTTCCTGTTTCACTGGAAAAGCGAACCATTCCTATATCCATTACAGAACACTGGTGAATACTGGTCACGTATTGGATACGTTGTGAATTCTATACTAGCTGTTGTTATAGCATTCCAAGTAAGCTCTATCGATGGAATAAGAACCGCATCAACGATAATAAGTTACCTTTTTATAGCAGTAGTGGTATGGTGCGTAGTTCAGGAAACAGAAAGTTATCGCACTATCTTGAAAAAGGTCACGAAAAGGCTAGACTTTAGTTTGAACATTTATTCATCGAAACTGGATTTCTCAAAACACATCAAAAAAAGGGTTTGGCAGGAGACTTGGAGCGCGTTGTTACTAACTTCAGATCAGTTCAAGATGCCAAAGGACAAAGTAGTCGCCTACTCACAAAGCATTTACCGCCCACCGTATATGCTGAATTTCATGGGGACAGTTGCCGAACGACATGTAGAGAATCTGAAGATTATCAGGCAAATAGGAATAAGGAATTATACATCGTCAATGACGCCATTATCAACCTCGCTGTTAAAAATGCGAGCAAAAATTGTAGACAATTATGTTGGACCTGACATGTATTATGCACCAGAATTCTTGTCTTTGAAGATCAAAACATGTTTCGGAAAAGCATATGTAGTACCATTTCCGTTTAGCGTGGTGATGGTTTATGATGAGGATGAAAGTGTTGTTACTTTGACGCAGGAATGGGAAATTGCTAGATATATACAACAAAATGAAAACAAGGAAATTATGAGGCGTCGATTAGTTAGGCAGATGATAAGGGCTCTTGAAGGTAAAACCGTGATCGGGCCATGTTATGACGGGAATGACGCCGATTTATCTCGAGACATGGATAGTAAGGTATGCCTATGTTTTGATAGTTAAGATCCATCGCTATTTTTTATATAAAGCATAGAAAATTCTAAAACCTTCCATCGAATTTACATAGTCCTTTAACGGTTCATCGAACGTCCGCTATTATCGAGGTCTTCTTCAGATACGGCGCAAACAATACTCGAAGTGGAAAGATTTTTATAATATGAACCCTGGATTTGATGTCACTATCACATATGCTGCTGCCTCAAAATGGAACACTTCTCAAAATTCTTCACAACCAACACACGAACGAGTTGTATCACATGATGTTCTCGGTATAACAACAGATTTTCAGATGACACCTCAGTTAGAAAAATTATTCACGGACAATTATGGCTTATTATCGGTTGGATTAAATGAAATACAAAAAATGATGAAAGAATACCGGGAGTTTTATAGAGATGAAGCCAGAGCCAAAGAAAATGCATTATCATATGGTTTCTTCATAAATATTTACGATAATCCATCGATACCTCTCGAATCTTTGCCGGCCCTATTGTTATCTACCGAGGAAAATCCGGCTGTACATGCTATACCGGAAACCAATTATCCAAGTTTAATATATTTGTATGAGCGAATGAGAGCGGTGAATATATCACGTGTTCACCAGTGGTGGTATCTGTTCTGGGAGGATCTGTGGAGAAAGAATCACAAGGAGATTTCTGAGCTAAACAAACACCCACAGGACTTTTCACCATCCTATAGAACAAGTGTGTGTTATAGACCCATGGTAAGGCTAGAGTTGGAGAATTTCTTGGAGAAAAGGGGGTGTTGGAAGAATAATGGAAAGAAAGGATTTTTAAATAGTGGAGTTCTAAATCGGGTCTATTTATATTTGAATAACGTGGTATTTGAAGGCTCTGATGGAAAAAACAAACGAAGGAAGAGTAATAGCAAAGATATTGAAGAAGAAAAGACAAAGAGATGGAATATAACAAAAGGGAACACCATTGATGATAATAGTGAATATCAAATGTTAGCGAATAAAGTTAGACCTACAATGAGAGAGCGAGTGCTACTAATGAGAGATATACTGTTGAAAAAGAATGCAAGTTTACCAAGGACAAGGCCGTTCTTTATATTAGAAGGGGAGGAAGAAGATGAGGATGAGCAGACTGAAGTTGAGGACATTGACGTTGGCGTCGACAGCGACGGAGTAGATCCAAGTGATGATGATGATGATGAAACTTGGTACTAGGATGATTATATATATATATATATATATATATATAATTTTTTAAGAGTGAAAATTTGACATTCTTCACTTTCCCCCTTTTATTATACATTATTTATTTATTTATTTAAATATGTTAAATTATATCCGTTTATATCGTATTTAAACAAAACATTTCCCGTTCATAATTTAATGATTGAATTTTAACCTTTAAATCACATTCTTTTTCTTGGAAATACATTATTCCTCCCGCTTTTGATTTGCATTCAGCAGACATTATCTATCCAATTTATCATTCCAACATTGAATACTTGTATACAAAACGAATATAGACTGTACTTCTACATTAAATTATTAATTTGGTTCATATTTATTTATATATCTTTACATATCTTGTTTTGCACTGTGAGATAATTATATTTTTGGACAACTTATTTTGTAATATTTTTGCATTTTTTTTTCAGTATATTTAATAAAAACTTCAGTGAAGTGTACCTATGTTATTTAATATTTCCAGATTGAATATTGAGATATTTTTTTTTATTATGGTCATTATGGATCCGAACTCAAGATTATACTCATAAATAAATACTGTAATTCAACATACTGTATATACAGTATGTGAAAAAATTTTGTATTAAGTCACGACGTTATTATATAAAGAAATTAAAAAATTAATCTGCTATAAAAGGAATATTAGCACCTAAGTAAAATATTAAAATCATAAATACTATATTATATTTAAATAATTTTTTCAAAAAAAGGATTATTTAAAAAAAAATATTAATTAATTAATACAGTATATTTAAATTATTAATTTATAAATAAGTTATATACAGGGGTACTCAAAATTATTTGGAATTTTTCTCAATATATATATTGTAACTCAGTAAAAACTTATTGAAATCAAACACAAATTTAAATATAAATACATGAATACTATAAAATTACTTTTACTTATAATTAATTTATATATTATATTATTATTATTATTTTAAATAATTATTTTTAATTAAAAATTTTATGTTATATATTAATTTTATAACTTTTTATTGAAGTAAGTAATTTCTACCTATGCTGCTAGTCTGGTATCCGTGAAGTTAGTGATTTAATTAAGAAACATTATTTGATTTTTTGCAAGTTGTTTTCTGTGTTTGTTGTATCAGATTGATTTTATGATTTCTTCGATTGTTGTGTCAGTCTTCTTGATGATTTCGATTATATTTGTAGTTCCAGTGAAGCCATGTTATCTAAATAAGAAAATTTTGTTATGTGTCAGGTTCTTTCTCAAAAGTGTAAGTGGTGTCTTGAAGTTGATACTTGTAATTGTTTTTGTTAACCAGTAGATGTTTTATGCTTTCTGTAATTTTATGCTTGCTATTTATCCTATGATATCATTTCTGTTAATTAGTTTTTGTCAGTTATTTACATGTAAAAAAATATGTCAATCCCAGATATAGAAGAAGTCATATTCTAAGAGGTTGTAGAAAGTTGTATTGGAGATTGTTTGAGCTATGTTCAGTTTATACTTATATGTTTTATTAAGGAGGCTTATTATATTGTTACAGATTTTTTCTGAGAGAATGAGATCTGATAGTAGATATATTATTGATGGAATCTATACTTAATTGTAAAGATATCTTAATTGTTTGTCCGTAGTTGTCTTTTATTTGATAATATTTGCAAACTTGATGGTTTTTTCATATTTTTTATTAATTTTAATATATATCTGATGACTGTTTGGCCTCCAACTCTATAATTAATAGTTTGTAATACAACTAGTAAATTTTAAATGTCATAAAAATAATTACAAATATTAGAAAACTATACTACAAATCTGATTAGGAAAGATATGTGATACTCTCTTAATTTTTTACTAAAACATTTTTAGAGAGTAATCTAGCTTATTGCACTGTTTTATGTATTCTAATCTGTCTATAGGATTTTTATAGACTTCGGTATAGTCTGTGAATTATTTCTTTTATCAAGATGTCCTAATGATTTGTTACAGAAAAGATGACTTATGCTTTTTAGCATACCACTGATTTAATTTTTACCCTTTTAGTTTAATTTTTCTATTTATGGTCTTACTATAGTTATAACATCCAGTCGAATAACCTGTTCTTGACAAGAATAAAAATATTAAAGTGATTGTCATCCTTTTTTAGGATAGTATTGTATTTTTGATAAAATTCAGCATTATCAATTGATAAATTAAGACTGTCCCTTGGTAGATTATTGATTAGCCCAATACTATTTAAACCAAATAAGCTATTGGTTGGTGAATAGTTGTTAATATTCACATAATCATTACAATTTTTGAAATTTATCTGGTAATTGCTAGGTTTGTTTCCAGCTGTAAAAATTGATTCGTTGATATTCTTGTGATTTGCAAGAATATGTTTTTTCAATGTTCTTTTGGTTCCTAAAGCCTGTGTAATAGTAATAGGATTGTTGAGAACAGTTGCTTTTCTTTTTGCTTTTTTGTATGGTGTTTTAACTTCAATAAATTCCAGTTTGTAAGTTGTATTAAAATATTTCTTTCATGTATTGTAACTGGTGAAGTTTTCATCACATTCAATACATTTACATACATTTGTAGGTAGAAATTATTTGGGTGCAGGTTGTTTCTCTGCTGGCTTGCCTGATTTTTTGTTTTCTTGACGTTTCCCTTTTTTGGATTGCTTTTTTCTTTTCTTTTTAGAAGAGTCAACTGCCAGTAATAAGAAAAGAACATGTCGTTTAGAGTTGTTAAAACATATAAAAGTGGTTCTTCCTACCCATTTTGAAAAAAGTTCTTGTATTGGTACTAGCTGGTTTGCTGGCTCAGAATATTTAAAGACTGATTTGTAGAAAAAGCTTATTTTTACAGATATTGTTATTATATTATTGATTTTTGTAAAGATAAAAACCCAACTTTTTGTTGACTTTTTTAAAAGTTTCCTAATAAGGAAATTTTTAATAAGTGGTGTAAATGAGAAAGAGTTTTTTTTTTATATTTAAAAAGTCATTAAACAAATTTTTAATTTATATTTTTATGTATTATTATTTAATATTGTGTTTTTTTGTATCATTATTATTTTAAAATATTTTTTATTTTATTTATTTATCTTTAATTTTTTATCTTTGCCAGAGTATTTGTTTCTATATTAATATATACAAATAACTGTTTTGATAAATATAATATTTTTTTAATATCTTTATTATTTTATATAACTTATATTTATTATATACAAAAATATTATAACTTAAATATATATATAAAGCCTTCAATTTTATCTAAAAATTGACAAAATTAAACTTTTATTTTATTGAATAAATAAATTAATCTTTATTAAAACAAATTATTATTATCTTTTTACTTAATACTATATCTCAAAACTGTACTAATTTTGATATATCTTAAGAACTTTAGTATATTACATTGAATCTTTTAAATAAAATATTTTCTTATTATTAGTTTTCTGTCTTTATTTTTTTTCTAAAATAAAAACAATATATAATAATATCAAATAAATTTTTAAGAAATAGAAAGAAATCTTATTACTAATTTATAAATATTTAATTTAATTTAAATTCTAATATTGTTATTTAAAATATATATTTTTTAAAATTAATTAAAATATTTAAATAATCTTATTATTATTATTTATAGTTTTGAATTTTATTTATTATTAAATTTTTTTTTTTTAAACAAGTATTAAATTAAGATAACTTTAAACTAGAATTGTAATATTTAATATCAAAAAATATTATAATATTAAGATTAATAAAAAAAAACTTTATAAAATTAAATAATTTTTTTATTTTCTAAAGGAAAAAAAATTTCTTATATAAAAAATTACTTTATATAAATAAATAAAGTAATAATATATAATTAAATATAATATATATAGTTTTATTAATTTTTCAAAGATTATATATACAGTATGGATCAAAAATAATTGGAAAAAATCAAAACTTATATTTTATTCATAATTTAATAAATAATTAAATAATTAAAATAAAAATAGATATAGGCATATTTGGAGATATAAAGA